AATGCTGACTTCTTCATCGGTATTATTGCTGATACGTACCCATTGACCGTTAGGATCAATCTCTTCGATTCCTACAGGGCCATCGACGTGCTTTTGCATCTAAAGAAGGAAAGAACTAGACAAATTTCTCATCCTCGAGATGGAAAAATTTGACCTGATATCCATTCGATTCTTTACTCACTCTCTGGCTAAGCCTATGGAAATCCAGCTCATCACCATTGCCGTCCCATTCTATTCTGGCTCTCTTCACTCCACGCTGAGCACTACCTGAAACCAGACTAGTAATGAATCTTGAGATACACACGAAAAAAATTTTGGCCTAACATATCTTCATCAGTTCAAAAAAGCCTTAATAAATTTAACGAGAAAAACATACCGCTGCCGGACGTGAAAGACACATGGTGTGAAGTCATACTGTTGTCGCGCGACTGACCACCGGCACCAGAAATGTTGAGACGACTTTCCTCAGACTGAAAACGGAAAACAGTAATCTCTGAATGTACTTAAAAAAAAGGGCTTGAATTTTTCAAATAAAGTACAGGAACAGTGATCATTCCTTAGTGAAAAATAATCCAAAAAAGAAAAAAAAAATCCCAACCTCCAATAGCATACGGTACGTGTTCAACTCAGTATCCAGCTGAATCTTAACATCGAGCAAATCATGGAACTCATCCATCATACGTTGAATTTCACGGTTCAGCTCAGCAATACGTAATTCCTAAAAAAGCGGAAATAGTGAACCTCTGCTAATCATCGAACTGATTTCTACGCTCACTTTCCCATCCAGTCGCTCCTGATACGAACGTCTAGCTGCATCCATATCGTCCTTCAGTGCAGCGATTTCACGACGGAGACCATCGATCTAAATTCAAACTTTTAGAACGACTTATTACATCTCTTAGGTAACTATCACCGCGGTATCACCTTAGGTCACTTACCACTGCATCATGGCTGCTGCCACTCTTCTCCAGTTCATGGATACGAACACGCATACGAGCAGCGTCGTCGTGCGCAGCTTCGGCACGTTCACGCGCATCATTCAGCTTAATGAACATGATTCGATTTTGATAATTTAATTTTGTTTATAAAAACAATAGTACAGCAACAATACAATAATAGTAAGAACAGTAAGAGCAGTTGAATTTGGACGGCTTACCTTATTCTTGTACGACTCCTCAAAAGCGGCCTTGCTTGCAGAGAGCTGTGCTTGGAAACGTGCACGCATCTCAGCCAGCTGGTCTTGCAATTTCGACTGGTACTCGTCGTTGATTTGCTTAGCGTATGTGGTCATGTCAACCTGGCGCTTATGACGGACCTCCTCGAGAGCCTTAAAGACGGGAAAGAGTAAACATTGATAGCACAGAGACGTGTCCAGCCTAAACATACATACCGATTTATGCTGCTTCTTCAGGAACTCCAAATCCTCTGTGAGAGCCTGAATCTTCGAGTTTGCTGCGGCACGGAGCACACTCTCATCCTCTAGGTTCTTCTGAAGCGCAGCCAGTTGCATTCGTAGACGAGCGTTGTCTTTCTCGAGATCCTGGAATCATGAGGATAAAAAAGGAAGTACTCACACCGATCATCAGCTATACAAAGCAAACTTACCCCAAGTTCTGCAAGTGCTTTATCGAGTTTATTCTGCAGCGTCTTCTGCTTAGCTGAGCTCGTCTCCGCTAACGACAGCGCCGTCAAACGCTCATCTTCGGACTAAACATTGCTTTAGATCAATTGAAACTTTGAAGAACTATTGAACTTCATCACCCACCTTTTTCAGGTCTCTCTCTAGCTTTCCAACTTTTCCGGCCAAACGCTCATGATCAGCTATAGCTGAATCACGTTCAACAGCGTACTTAGCTGCCTGTTCACGAGCATCGTCTAGGGCTTGGCGAAGGCGAGCCTGGAATTGTTAGTTTCAATTCTCTGTGAATAAACCACAGCGAAAACTCTACTTCGAGGCAGATACATCGGAGGGTTTCGTCTTCGGGACAGTCAGGAAAGAGCTAGCTTACTGTATAACCTCGGAAAGTGCTTATTAAGGAACATGTTGACAGCCGAAAAATAATGTTCAAATCTCTTTCTCACTCTTTCGCAGGTTATTCATCCCCAATATTGAGAAATTGAAGATGAGTAGCTTGAGACCAAAAAATCTTCAGTGAAAAATTCTTTCTAACCACTGCAGTTTGAGCCCACACGAAGCGTTGAAACATCAACATCGAAAATTTATGATGTTTTTCATGATGGTAGTGTTGTTTTCGCCACTTCCCAGTAAATACTACGTTTCAGAGGGTGGTACGTTTTTGAAGGTACCTTAGAGCAATAGATCGGTTAGGGCTCACCAATTCTTTAACGCTGGGAGGGTAAACAGAGTTGTACTAGCGGTATTGATCATTATACAGTTGGGTAGCATAGATATATTACTCATGAGGAACACAAGAGGTATGCTTGAAGAACAAAGAGGTGAGCTTGAAGAACACTTAGTGGTCAAAGTTAGCTAGCACTCACACGCTCAGCTTCGAAGCGGTCAGCGAGATTGTTCCTTTCCTTCTTCTCAATGATCTCGATATCCTTGATCTGCACGGTTAGACGACTGTTCTCAGCTTCGAGCTGACGTACTCTCTGTAACAGGGAATCTATTCCTTTGAAATTCAACAAATTCCGCTCCTCACAACACCTTACAATCTATTTATTTCTATGCAATCTTTTACAGAAACTCACATCAATATAGGTTGCTAGACGACTGTTAAGCCCAGTAAGCTGTTCTTTCTCTTGAGATCTCGTGCTTTCAAGGAGCGACTGGCTAAAATAACCCAAATCAAACCTGACCGGTAAAAAATAGTTATGCCACCAATCAAACCCAAAAGTCAATATGCAAAACACAAACTCACAATGAGTCATCGCCGCCAACACCACTTGACGAGGTGGTGCTAAAGCTGACCTCAGTTCTAATAGGTCCCGAAGAACGGGTTGTTTTCGTCTTGCGAGTGGACATGTTGAAGGCTGTTACCTGCAGAAATAGCTAATAATTCTTGCACGCAAATAGCAACTTAAGCGCAACGTACGCGAAGAAATCGAAATCGCACGCGCAAACAATTGTGACGCGTTCTAGCTCAAAACCAAACAATATGAAACTTCCAGACTATGAGCATATGGATTAAGACGTCGCATAGAAGGCTTGAGGACAAGACTAATAGTAATTCATGACTGTTTACCGATTTTACCTAAAATCTACAGGACGCAAGATAGATTGCTCTTCCAGACGTGCACAGATGCGTGAAACATGTGCCACATAAACAAAGAACCACGAAATGGCATGTGAAATCGACAGACACATTACGAGCGGTAAATTCGCTTCTTCCTCGAAAACATGAACGATACAGTAGTAAACAAAAGTACATATACAAAGCAATGAAAAGGATCAATGACCAATAAGAATCCGTTTTGAAGAAAAAAAGCTACTGTGATTACAAAATACTCCTTTTACCAGAA